CATTAACAATAACTGTTAGGGTTAGTAGAAATCTGCAGAGAAAGCCTTTCAGAGAAGAGACGTGAGCAGAAACTCCCTTGAAAGATCTGCGATACTGCTACATTTGGGGTCTTTTGTGTAAACATTGTCTTACTGAAACTGTATAGACAGCTACCCTTTCCTACGCCACCATATGTCTTTGACCCTCAAATCATGGTTTAATCAGGCTACATCCACGTGCTAAATTCAAGAGCAAAACACAACAGTACTGAGTCTGGAGCAATCACTTAACTGCCATTCCTAAAAGCTAAATTTCATTTAGCTTTCGTGGGATGAAAGGAAGTATTCACACTGCCTAAATACCTGAGTTAGTTCATTAATGTGGAAAGAATAGCAGTTAGGAGAGAGATGGGTGTTATGAACCACCTTCTGCCTGCAGGTATCTTTACTTTTAATGATGAAGCATTGTAATAGACCCAGATATGCAAGTGTGTGGCATCTCAATGGATTTTTCCTTTAGCCTTCGCTCCAGACCTCCTGCAGAAAAAGGAATATATGTGAAATATGAATGACCAGGCAGTAGGATCCATATAAAAAGATGGCCAAAGCAGCTCAATAGTGTAGGTAAATTAATTGATATCTAGCTTTATTCTCTCATATAGATACTTCTGCAATTACTTATTCTAAATCTTGAATTTTTTTTTTGCTCCATGTTACATCTTGAGACATCTTAGGGAATCTGTACAGTAGCGCCATCTTTGCTATCAAGTCAGCCCTTTCCATTTCCTTGTCTTCAGACAGAATGTACTATTTCCTTTAGCTTCTATTTTCTGAAATGGACATGGCATAACACTCTATTCCTGATGAATATTTTATTTATAAAATGGAGCTAAAAATGTATTTGTGCCAAAGAAGTATCTCCATTTGTGATTTTATTGTATTGCTGTAACATCTGGAAGACCTAAGCAAGATTAAAACTTCACTGTGTTGGCAAAGAACACTGAGGTTGTCCAAGTTATTTTTTCCCCGTGAGCATCAAAAAGATAACCAGGGGAAGAGAAATGCATAAAGGATCTTTGTGGCATTACTGGAAAAAACCTTTAAATATATATAAAGAGATAGATAGACAGATATGTGTTCACAACTCCACCTGGATTTTCAGCAATGTTTTAGAAAATGAGGGGGAATGACTTGAGTAAAGCAGGAAAAACAGAGTGGAAAAAAAACCAATATAAAAGAGATCATGTTTTAACTTGTTTAAAATTTTATTAGTTTATTACATTATAAACTATTTGCCCTCCACATACTTCATATAATCTCTTACTTAATGTTTTGTGACAGCTTTAATACAACAAAATTAGACATGCTGCTGCAGTAGTCCCAACAGCTACCTGGTTTCCACGCATTAACACCATTGGCTTCTTGCCCAAAACAAATAATCTTGAAAGGGTAGAGAGCACATCCAGTGAAATCAAGTAGCATAAAACTAAAAGGTAGAGCTCAGCACTGTGGAATAAAATATCATTGCAGGGGAAACCTTTGATGATATCATTAACTGAAGTATTAGAAATATATATGTGTGTGTGCATATATATATATATATAAACCCCCAAATCCTTGAAACAAAAGCATTTAAATTCTACCTGCACAGAGGAAACTATCATGAAAATCTTAGACAACAGTTAGAACTCACACAAACATTGTTTATTTTAATTTGGAATCATATTTGCACATCATATTCCACCATGAGAAAACATACATGTTCCTTCAAGTCTTACTGAAGTACTGTGTCCTGTAGTTGAGCGGAAGATGGACCTCTGAGAGCTGTAGCTGCACTGGCCAAGCAGGAATGGTATTTCAAGAGCTTCACTTGTTGTCAAAAGTTGATGTCTTTGCTCAGATCTGAGTGTTGTACTTTCATAACTGAGTCCATATCACTGGAAATGAGATCTAGTATTAAAAAGAATTTCCAGTAAAAATTTAGGACTGATTTGATTAATGTTTTGCAGTGACAATATGAGTGTATATAGAAAAAATACTATTAGAAGCTGGAAGACTTTCACTGGTTAAAAAAAATAAAAAGAAGAAAGTAAAAATTAATGTTCAGCTAGCTACATGGGAGAATACCTTCCCCTTCTTCATTTTTCTTCTCATTAGTCAGTATGAAGGATACATACAGTAGAGTAGTCATGTTTGCCTTTTGAACCTTTCCTGAAACAATGGAAGGTCTGGCACTAATTGAAAAACTATGGATCCTGATGGAATGCAACTTCTCTTTAACCTGTTTACTGACTCTGTGGTAAGGGTGTAGAGTGCCAATATTGCTAATAGTTCTGAATTTCTTGTCTATAACTTCAAGTCATTACCTCTCTCATTGCTATCTTTTTATAGAACCACAAAGCTTTTACAGCACAGAAGAAAAAAAAAAACATACCCACCAAACAGATGGTACTGGCACTGGGATCAGTTGCCTACCCCTTCAAAAAGATTCTGATTTGTTCTGATGAAGTGGCTATGAAGGGGACTGATCTGAGTTTGAGTCACAAAAAGCCTTCAGGAACAGAGGTTTTTATAAGCTGTTTCAGTTTCTCATCAGGTGCAAAGTATGTTTATTCATCCTACCTTCTCTAGTATAAACATATCACCTTAGCTAATGAAATGATAAAATTATGAAGTATGCTACCTTGCCCCTTCTCCGAACAAAGCAGTCCTCTATGTATTTCACTCTCCTGGGCGTTCACATGAGTGAACAAACCAAATGTGGCAGATGTTATTCACATTCCTAATTGGACAACTGGAAGCTGATCTCATCCCGTAACAATGCATACGGAGTACCCAATAAGAATCTCAACAAAAAAAAAGTGCTCATCAGTAATGTTGCACCAGTTGAGAGTTTTTGATCCCCAAAGCCAGTTGCAGTAGCATCTGGAAGGAAATCTCCCCACTAAAGACTTTTAGGCTACCTCATTCTCTGTTCTTCCCTTCCCTAATGCTTGAAAAGTGCAAAGAGATTCCATTTAGCCAGGAATTATTACTATCCACTGCTTGAAAGTGCCTTGCTACTTGAGTAAGAGCAACATATATGGTTTGTATTTTATATCAATATTGTATTGCCTTAATGTATCATGTTAAAATGAAATTCTGCTTCCTCAGCTGCTTAAGTGCTTTACTTCTTTTAATCTAGCAGTTTATATGGTATATTTTACCTTACATTGGCATATCTGTGTGAGTTCTTTGGTTTATTATAGACCAGGTGGACTATGTGTTCTAGTGGCTTATTTTGGCTTTAAAATTGATGTGTTTTATAGAGGCATGAATAAAGATTTTGCATTTGATTGAATAAATCTCAGAAAGACTCCAATTCAGGAAACAACATAAGTGCTCAAATCCTATTCAATTTAGGAAAACTTAAGCACTTTTCTAAAGGAAATATAGTAAACTCCAGCACATGCTTAAACCTGAGCAAAATATTAACGGCTTAGAACAATATACGAGTTGCTTCAATTTTCTAAAGGGATGTAACATATTTTCAGAGAGGAAGAAAACTTCCTGCATGCAATTTTTATTTATAGAAATAACTGAAATGCATGAAATCAGCAAAACAGTGAGAGATCACTGTTTGCAAAGGACAGTAATATCAGGCCAGTTACAGCAAATGGACTTTGATTCCATGCAAATGTTCCTTCAATGAAAAATATCATTAGTTTGGGTTTATATACCACTGATCTCCAACCAATTGAGATTTTGGATCATTAAAGGTGTCTCAGGAACAGTCTCAGTTGCTCGTCTTCCATTCTTGATGATTATAGTCAAGCATAGATTGTATATATTTTTCATTATCCTTCAATATCACATCTGTGCTTGACCTTTTAATGCAGTAAACTGAAATTATGAGAAATAGTTTCTCATTCCATGCAAAAAGGGCAGCCTATCAAGCATTTTCCTTGGGGAAAATGTGCACAAATGTACAGTTAACATAAAACAATTGATGTGAAGCAAGTTAAAAACACTTGGGTTTGTGCCCATACTCTGCCTTTTCAGTTAGATACAAAATGTTCTTTTCTCTCTACAGAAAATTGTCCCCGAGTTCATCTTAGCTTTTATTTTCTCTGAAGTACTTTATTTTTACTGTGCTGTCAGCTAGGAACTTTTATCATGGCTCACAAATTCGTTATGGTTACAATCTCATTGAGACAGAAACTGTGCAAACATGTAAAAGCATTCTTTTTCCTATCTGCCAGCCTGCACTGTGGGTTACACAAAGGTGACTCCCTGCTCTAACCTCCATGCAAAGTCCTATAACGTCTCATGAGTTTTTTCCAACTTTACTCATTTGAACAGCTCTACCTATGAGATAAAACTTACACATATAATACATACACATATGTATACACTGGCTATCGCATATATGTATATCTATATATATGTACATAGTGTCAGTAAATGACCTTAAAGGATCGATTCACTCACTTAAATCAGGTTTCTAGTCTGAGACACTTGGCATGTACCTTCTGGTTTCCAGGTGTTGCTCCATAAGGGTGCAATCTCTCCTATGTCCTGTGTCAGATATCCCAATTTTTGCAGACATCTCTGATGTCCTAAATAATTGAATGGCTCTGGCTTCTATGTTTCTCCTGCTAACTCCCACCCTAAATGCAATCATAGAGGGGATGTGTGTGCTCTATCCGTTCCATCTATTGACTTTCTGCTTCCCTGCCGTATGCAGCTGGTCACCAATTAGCCCCCATCACGTGCAACTGTACAACTCAGGCTGAAGATTCCAATCTCTCATACCTCTATCTGGGCCAAGAATCACACCAGTTACTAGCCAGTGTAACCACAACAAAATGCACAACTCTGAGATAAGGAACAAAAAGATGTGCTTAATAAAAATCAGTTCCAAAGCGTCAGGCGGCACCACCTTTACATCCTACTCAAATATGTGTGATTTATACAGTATCTATATTATATTTGTACATACAACATTTTTAAGTACACATATACATACATATATACACATATATATATAAAACACCATAAGTATCCTGAAATTATTTTTACTTATGGTCTCTAAGTATTGCTGTATTGGAACAGACCTGTGTTCCACTTAACTCTGACTTCTAACACTGGTTAGGGAACAAGTATATGACACACAGCAAGGAACCTTTCTTGTAGCATTCCCGCCAACATTATACTTACCTTTAGCATTACTGTTAGAGAGGATTTTGCACACAATGACACAGCTTGAACCTTGACATTTTGCAGTCTCCTACTTCCTTCCCTATTCCTACTATGAATAATTCAAGATTGATTGTGAGCAGAGAAAATAATTTAAGCAAGCAATTTTTATCTTTCTCCACCGCCTCCAAAACGACACTTATTACTGTGTGAAAAAAAAACAGAAAAACAAACAAAAAAGCAAACTAGCAGATATCAGCAGTATTCATTAAAAAAAAAAAATTAAAAAGGGATCCTGAGAGGTGTTTTAGCCATTCCCCCGTACCAGCCTCTAATATATAACTTGAATCTTCTCTTTGATGCTTAAAATGGTATGTTTTTCTCATGTCCTATTCTTCTTGTCGCTGTTTCATATTCTCTGATTGATACAAGTATTTACAGCACGGATTCCTCTCAGGCAACCAAATTATAAATCCCAGTCACTACTTAAAATGAAAAAGTGCCCTGATGCTCAGCTTCCTCAAACTGTCCCTTATTGTCATGCTATCCAGAGCACAAAGTGACAAAAAAAAAAAAAAATCATTTTTGTTACTAAACCTTTACATTCTAATTAATTAATTCTTACTGAACAACCATTTTCTGCCTCACACTTGGTCACTAGATGTTTCAAGAGTTTTGCATCAAGGGAAATCCAGTCTGCCCTGCCAGATGTCAGGGCAAGGCCACTTCTGCAGAGATTGCTCCTGTATCTCATGGTCCCCTCCGTCTGCCTGGCAGATGGTTCAGTCATGGGGTGACAAGAGTAATTTCCCAGTCTGGAAAACTTTTTTTCTATTCTCTTCAGTTTCCTGAGGGCAAAAGGCTAAAGCAATGGTGAAGTCCTGATCATTTTAGCTGAATTTAATCCATCTTGGAAAGGTCTTGCATTTCTAAGAGATAACTTAAGTCTATAATTCTGATACAGCTTGTCCTTGGCCCAATTCTGTCATAGCTTGTCCTTGGTTTTGCAAGGAAAGACCTTGCAAAAAAAGCCAGTTTACAAAGCATAAAAATACAGAATAAAAGTACTAATTAAGGCACTGTAGCTCTGTCCGCATGTGAATTATTTATATAAAGAAAGTACAAAGAGGAATGGATTTACTTTCTTCTGGCTCAGAAAACAACAAGCAAGTATTCTGAGTATTCTGAGTATACTTCTGTTCTCCTTCATTGTGCTCATAGCAGTAAATTCCTGGAAGAGAAACATTAAGATATACAGAGAAAGGTCTGTGGTCAAATATGACACAGTATGTGACATTATACAGAGCTAGATCATCTGAGTTGATGGGAAGACTAAGTCAACGTTGTTATCACAAAAATGCACATTGAATGAAGTAGAGATGGTCGAATTATCCTCCAACAATCTACCTGCACAAGACCCACATCTTGGTGCACAAAAGCCCCACAGACTTTGTGGTAGAATAATCTATTCCTCTGAGAAAAAGTGCTTCCATTGTAGACGCTTGGAATAAAAGAGCAGGGAGTAGGAAGAGGGATGCTGAAAGTCATGGATCTGTTGGAGCAGATCCAGTGGGGGGTTATAGAAATGATCAGAGGGCTGGAACACCTCTCCTATGAGTGCAGGCTGACAGTTGGTGTTGTTCAGCCTGGAGAAAAAAGGGCTCTTGGGAGAACTTTTTGCAGCATTTCAATACTTGAAGGAAGCTTATAAGAAAGATGGGGACAGACCTTTTAGTGTGGCCTCTAGAGACAGGACAAGGGGTAATGGTTTTAAATTAAAGGAGGGCAGATTCTGACTAGATATAAGGAATAAATTTTTTACGAGAATGGTAGTGAAACACTGGAACAGGTTGCCTAGAGAGGGTGTAGATGCTTTGTCCATGAAAACCCTCTAGATAAGCTTGCACAGGGCTATTGGCAACCTGATCTAGTGGAAGGTGTCCCTGCTGACAACAAGGGAGTTGGACTAGAAGACCTTTAAAGATTACTTCCAACCCAAAATATTCTATGATTCTATTCCATGATTCTGTTTTTTACAGTCACACACCCTATATCTTTCTACAGTAGCAGCTTAGTTACAAACTGAAATGACTGGCCTTGTGGTGCTGATCTATGTTTTTCATGGTGTAAGTAGAACAGTTGTAACAAGATGTGTCTCTGTGTCTCTTAATTTAATCCCCAAATAGGAAACTTTAAACTTTGTGTGGTTTTAATATTTATTTGGCAAAAAATGAAAAAAATTACCTTATTTTCCCTCCATCTCTCTGTCAAATCAAAATTAAAACCAGCAGTGATTAATTTTGAAAATCTTGAAACAAAATTTCTTTTTGTTGTCTATCTGGTTTTTTTGCACAGAACTATCTTTCAAATTATTGAGAAGTTCACTGAACCAGGAATCATTCGTATTTACTTTTGATGACTGAAGAATATCATCTTGCAAATATGAAATAGCATATGCAATATTAGACAAATAAATTACACTTGTAGCCCTGTTTACTGCTGAAAGCAGACACTGCCTATGTGAGATATGGTGATCCTGCTCCCCTACGAAGATGTGTCTGAAATTTCTGAAGCCCCTGAGACTCCTGTTTGGAGACTCATGCTTCCCACTTCATGGGATGCTCCTGCCTTGTCTTAGATATCTGAGGTATTAAAAATAGCTCAGGCAGCCTGAGTTATAATCACAAGGAGCTGATATCTGCAGTTCTGAGTAAACTATTAACCTGGAATATAAGTGGGGTTTAGGGAATGCCGTTTAACTGCATGAAATGGGCCCAAGTTTGAGAAGATAAGCCTGTTAGAGACAAGTCCAGGGAAAACACAGCATTTATAATGCATCGTGAGTGTTTGTATATATGCAACCTAATGATGCCTCAATTTATATTCCAAAATAACTTTTTTTTGCTTGCTCCATCAATTGTTCTAATAATCTAAAGTAAATTGTCACAAATTAAAGGAAGACATTTATAGTCTCCTGTTTACAGTGGATCCTGTAAATTCAGCGTTATCTCCACATTTTCCTAAAATGTTTATGCGTAAATGATTTTCACTCCAGTAACTTCATCATGCATGAATAAAAATATATGCCTAGTTATCAAAAGATAATTAGGTGAGACATGTATGTTTTGTCATAATTAATATTCTGTCAATAGGCTAGATAAGGAAGCTCCAAGGGTTAATGCTTTCCTGCTCTGTATCTAACATTGCCAGTGAATTTCTCTAGCTCACTCCATTAATCCAGTCAGCACAATGGATCAGGTTAGAGATGTGTCTCAATAAATCACTCTCAAGTGCTGGGGGTAGGAGAACCTAATTAATCAGCACTGTCATTATGTTTGACTTGTAGCTGCCTTACTGTGTATGGGATGAGGATTCAGTGTATTTAACCTGCACACACTTTTAAACAGATCTCCAGTAGTGATGTAAATTTTAACCCTTGTATGGAAAAAGGCAACCCATGATTCTGTGGATGGGAGATGAAATGTTTCTTACCAATAAGCGAATCCACAGGTAATTTATTCTCCTCTCCACACCCCTATATCCCCTTCTTCCCCTAGGGGCCATTAACATCCTGCAGCATTTTATCTCTTTTAGCACCAAACTTCTGAAGAAAAATGCACCACTAGAGTTCATCACAATCCCAAGCTGTACCTGATAGCTTTCCTCCCTCCCACTTCCTCATCCATCTCCTCTATCTCCTCTCCCGTTATTCACACTGTCCCTTACTTTCAGAACATTGCTCCCTAGAAGAGAACTTCCAATCCATTCTCTCACTCTGACCAAACTTCCCTGCCCTTACGTACAAGAGGCCTGTTGCTCCACTTGCACTAGTAGCTGCCAGCCTGTCTCTCTCTCCACTTCCCCTGCTTAGCTTCTTTATTCCACAGGCATGCCTGGAAGCTAAACACATCTTTCCTGGATTGCTTTTTTCACTCTCCTCCAGCTTTAGACAGCACCTTGCTACCAAAGAGATTTCTGACTCTACTCTTTCAAGTTTTGAACTGCAGTTTATTGTTATCTTCCCAAGTGGAAATTACTATATATTCCCCATCAAAATAATTGCTCTGCTATGACTCTTTCCTTTATGAATATTTTGATCATGACTCTTGCCTTTTTTTTTCAGAATTCAATGAATATGCACTGATTGGTTTTGCATTATTTTAAGGTCCAGGCAGTAACTGCCTCCCTTGATGAAATGGAAGGCAATCTCTAGACACAACAGTTCAGCCCATCCAGAATAAACATCAGCAGTGATGTGGTGCAGAGCTCAGAGTAAATTCCTCTCCATGTGATTTCTGCTCTCCACTGGCATTCAAGGCACAGCAGGAAAAGTAGAGGCCATGAGAGAGTATCAGGAAGGCAGCAGAGCAAATGTTCTTTCTGCCAGTAGCAGGGCCTGCCCCTGGCAACCTGCGGGAGAAAGATGCTGTGAATACAATTAACCTGGGGTAATAAGGAAGTCAAGAATATAGTCTCTTAAGTAGAAACTGTAGACTAAGACATAAAAAAATGCAGTAAGAAAACACACACTTGTATCAGTGTCTCCAGCCTCATCTATACGTGCACCAAGACAGTCACAAGAACGTCAGTGAATTTACCTCTACTTGTAACATAGTGTCTTGGTTTATTTAACTCTGACATAAGGAGAAAATTCTTGCGGACTTCAGAGGGAATTCATGTGTGCAGACCCACCTGAGTCTTTAAGAAAATAGTATTATCCACTTTAAAAACACCTACACTAACAAGGATTTTTTTTAAAGAGACTTTTCTTTGTATTATGACCTACTTCTGATGTGATAATGAACTGTATTAACAGTGTTGTACTAACTCAGTACTTAACATTTTGTGCTGTCCAGATGGAAACACCTATGTGACAAAAAATATGACCCTAATTTTTCATACTATATATGACAAAATTATATGATGTGACACTAATATTTTTCTATCTCAGTTTCTCTCTGCTTTTGTGTCTGAGTTTCCCTGTCCTTTGAGAAAAGATACATAATTATTCTCTTTAAAGTGATTTTAAACAATTATTCATTAATGTCTGTGGATACTTCCTGCCAAAGTCTGATCACTGAAGAGAAACCAAGGGGGAACTAATGTTCTGAACTAATTGTATAGGGAACACTATATGATACATGCAACAATGTGCTGGATGGTGGGATAGTTCTAACGCTGCAGACAGGGCCTCCAGTTCATAATGGAGCTGCACAAAGCTTGTGTTTTATGGAAACTGCTCGTTTATGCAGTGAATAGTGGTCTCATACACAGGCTTGTGTTCAGGTTGCAGAACTGCTCCATTTTTTTGTTTTTCCTAAGTTTAGAATGCTTGACCTTTAGAATCATAATGATCCTTTAGAGTATGTAGGAAATGACAAACACAAAATAATATTGGCATATTATTCATCATTTATTTATAGCGTTTTTCATGCCACATCAGCCACAGCAAGCTTCTTACCACACTGCAACTTGTGCATCAGCCAGATGCGGGACACCCTCCAAAGCCCAGGCCTCAGACCCATCTCCATCATCTCTTCCCCATGCCCTGGCAGCAGGGCCTCTTCATGGGGTACCACCACAGGTTGCACAGGCAGAGGGGCAAACCCCAGGAGGAGAAGCAGGGCCAGAGCTTCCAGAGGAGCTCACAGGCTGAGAGCAGTAGTTTAGGCTACTGACACTGATGGTATTGATGACAATTAGTAGAGTGAGATTAGAATGGAGATGAAGAGAAGATTCATCTGTTACACTATCCATCATCTGTGTGTTGCCCCAGGCAATGTGAGCAGGCTGCTGTTTTCAGTGGATCTGACATTACTATTAACTAGCTTTAGCCTTCCCGTGGAGTGAAACTGCTCAAGAAATTTTTGCCAGTAGGGCTTGGAAAAGAAATTATTTTGCTTTTTGTGTTTCTCAGGTTATGAATGAATGCCTATGCAGGTAGATCAGTAAGACTGTTTTTTGAGTTTTATGTTTCAAACAAAAGTCTATTTTATATAAGTTGGTGGTCAGCTGTGGCAAATTCAAAATGTCAGCTAAAACAAGCAAAAGGTTTAACTGCTAACCTCCTTCAAGCATAGAAATCAGCAACAATTGAAAAGTAAGCTTATCTGTTGGCCCATTGTAAGGATATTGCTTTCATAACACAACATTTGATTTTTAAATTTTTTTTCAGTGAGTAGTTACATCATTTTCTTAACATGCTACAGTCTGCTTTTATCTGGTAGTTTGGAAAAATTCTCATTCTCTTATGCTTCAGCTTTTTATGATATCATCATGAGCCACCAGTTCCCATTTTAATGCCCATGTACATTCTTCCAGAAAAAAAAAATGCATTTTTTTCATTGCAGAAAATATTTATATATACATCACCTACTGCATGCACACAAACATGTAATGTTGTGTACAGAGCTCATGCCACATATTTTTGCATCATTACTGGAGGAGAGTGTTAAGTTCAGGTTTCTATAGGAGATCTCCTTCTAGTATTATTTCCCCCTAATACTTAACAGCCAGGACCAGAACCCGGGACTAGCACTTTCTTTGAATTGTTCCCTACCCTGCAGATTTTGTTTGTTGGGACTCAAACCTTATTCATTAGCATTGTTCATGTGAGTTGAAATAATGTACACAGTTTGCTGAATTGGATTGTTCTAGGAAAGACTGATCAAGCCCTTCTGCACGTACATGCCTCAGTTTATACGCCCAATTCTCATTTCCCAGAAAAAATTCCTGGGTATCTGCTTTTCCTGATGTTTTTCCATGCTTATAGTTCCTTCTTTCATTTCTTTAGAAGATTCGTCATTCATTCATAACATTCAACCGAGGTCATTTGGTTCCATACATTCTCTTTACCTTTGCACCAACAAATATAAGCAGGTTCTTCTGTATTTCAGGGAAAAAAACTTCAGCCATTCTTTCAGATTCCATTTTTTTCCTGTGGAATCTTCATGGAGAACTTTTTTTTGTTAGTCAGTATATGAGTCTGTCAATAACTTATAAATGAGTATTAACTAGAGAATCAGTTGGCATATGGCTGTAATAATTCTTAAATATATCTGAATAACTAGATTGCAGAAATATTACAAATCTCATTTTCACAGTCTGTGTAAGGCTTTCCAGTTTATTAGCTAAATAAGAGCCTGAAAGGTTATCTGCCATCACCTCTACTGTGCAGTGTTTTGTATCACTGAAGAATTCACTCACTAATTCACTTAGATTAGATAGCATTTCAATTGTGAGTTTATCAGAGGGAGCAGACCAAAATTGTGTTCTTTAAAGGCAAATACATGCAACTTAACTTGAACATAGCTGATTGTCAGAAGACTGGTGCATGCTAAGGGATATGTCTTCTAATAAAAGATTAGCATCAAGAGAGCAAACAGAAAAGGTGTTTTTTGACAGGGCAAGGTAATTTCCTTCTTTACAATATTGTAAATCTAATGAAACCCCACTGGAATTAATTATCTTAATTCAAACTGCCTTTTTTTATTCCTTTCCTATTTCTAGATCCTACATCTATCTTAAAACCAGTTTTCTTCTCTTCTTTTACTCATCTTCCACTTTGAGTTGAACAACCAAAAGAGAAAGAGAAAACTTGTATAAACTATTCTGTTATCACAGAATCATAGAATCTGTTGGGTTGGAAGGGACCTATCAGGATCACTGAGCCCAACTTCTGGCCCTGTACAGGACACCCCAAGAAAAATACCATGTGCCTGAAAGCATTATCCAAATGCTTCTCGAACTCTGTCAGGCTTGGTGTTGTGACCAATTCCCTGGGGAGCCTGTTCCACTGCCCAACCACCCTCTGGGTGAAATACTTTTTCCTGATATCCAATCTAAACCTCCTCTGATACAGACTCCTGCCTTTCCTCTAGCCCTGTCACTGGTCATGAGAGTGAACAGATCAGTACGTGCCCCTCCACTTCTGCTCATGGAGATGTTGAAGACTCCTCTTCTCCAGGGTAAACACATGAAGTAACCTCAGCCATTCCTCATAAGGCTTCCACACCAGACACTTCACCATCTTTGTGGCCCTCCTTTGGACACTCTTTAATACCTTAATGTGTTTTCTATGTTGCAGTGCCAAAAATTGCACACAGTGTTCAAGGTGAGGCTGCCCCAGTGCAGAGCAGAGCAGGACAATCCCCTCCCTCAACCACCTGGTCATGCTCTGCCTGATGCCCCCAAGGACACAGTTGGCCCTCCTGGCTGCCAGGGCACTGCTGACTCATATTCAGCTTGCCATCAACCAGGACCTCCAGGTCCCTTTCCACAGCGCTATTCTCCAGTTTCTCCTTCCCTAGTCTATAAACGCAACCAGGGTTACCCCTCCCAGGTGCAGAATCTGGCACCTACCCTTGTTAAACTTCAGCTGGTTCGTGATTGCCCATCTCTCTAATTAGTCGAGGTCTCTCTGCAGGTTCTCTCTGCCCTCAAGGGAGTCAACAGCTCCTGTCAATTTAATGTCTTATCATACCACGAAAAGAAAGCAATATTTACCTATTTGAGGTAAATACCCACTGATTTTAAATAGTCAAAAATTCGTTCCCTTCCTTCCTTCCTTCCTTCCTTCTCTCTCCCCTCCCCCCCCCCCCTTTGTCTCTTTATTTCTTTCTTCTTTCCATCCTAACACCAAAAATTTGATTGTTGATATTACACAACTGACTGGAGTACAAACCACAGGTGGGAAACACAAAAATCCCACTTAGACAAATGAAATATTGCAGCTCAGTAACAGGAAAAGCAGTGAACACTTTTCCTTCCAGATAGGTTCTTTATATTCTTTACAGCTGTTCCATATGTAAACAAGAACTTCAGTACATAAACAGAGACTAAGCATTATAGAACTACAAATTAAATTCCTCAGAACTGAGGATGTTTAGTTTTCTTATTTATATTTATTAGCTTTGAATATTGCATGTCTAATCCATACTGAAAGAACTATGTAAAATGGCTGGCCTCAACTATTTATCTGGTAAAAATTGTTCAACATATAGAGCCCACAGAAAATCTTAATTTGCTAATAATTCTCAGTGAAAAGGAGAGGAATGGAGGCGAAACAAGTCCAGCTTCAACTTAGTGAATTGAAGCTGGAAAAAACTCTTTCATATTCAGGCAGCTAATTGCAGAGAAAACAGTCTATTTCAGTATTTAAACTTTGATGCCTTTGTTTTCCAAATATTTATTGGTACTGCACATAAGAGGCTTTATGAAGGAAAGTGTTTTAAAAGTTGCAGGAGACGTTCAGGCTGAACAGTAGTTTACTTATAATTTACAGACTTGTAGTACTTAATATATAATGCAATAATCTATGCTGTGCCATTTGTCATTTGGACTAGGCCACAGATTGTAGCTTAGGGCAGTGCATCTGTGCACAGATCAGGCAGGAAATGGCCTAAAATCTTGAACAGCTGAGCATGATGTCTAGTGTAGTTGCAAAATTCAACCTCTGCTCCAGAGGTCACTGCATGCTTCAGTCATGACAGCCCAAATTGTTAAGCATGTGACTAATATGCATACAGAACACAGGCTGCCTAGTGTCTGCTGCAAGCTTGATGGCTGGTTAGCGGCTAGTCTTAATTTTATGTGACAATCCTATGTAGGAAATGCCGGGTGGGTGACTAAATGGAGCATATTGATGTCCCACTGGGTGTAGCCCCTGTTGTTTTGACAAATTCTCCTTAGCATTTATCAATCAGGCCTACAATGGGGAGTGTGCTGAATATCTAATTCAGACATGCTAGTCAGGACTAATAGAGCAAGATAGCATGTTATTCAATTTGTACTTGTTAGCGATGTCCCACTGTCACTGGGCAATTTACCTTCACACTTCACAAATGAAAAGAGAAATTTGCTGGGCTTCAAACACTTACATGAGTTACAAGCAAAATTTTAATTAGCATGTCATTACAGTAATAATTTATTGCTTCTTACTAGCATCCTAGCACCCAGATTGTACTTTTCCTTTTTTTCCTTTAAGAAGAGATGTACTTTAATATTTATGGAACAGTTACTTAAAACAAAAATAAAAATTAACCCTGCAGCAACTGAAAAACTGCATAGTAAGATACATATCAATAAGCTTTATTTTATGAAGCCTAAAATGGATTTATACATTTATCACTTAAAAGAACCTTTTGAGCTCTCTCCTTACCAAGTATTAATGGATTCAGTAAGCAACATCATTTAAAAGACTGCTTATTTTAATCAACTTTACAAATATTCGAAAGTGCAGTTTTCAGCTATTTCCAAAGGAATTATAACGAAAGTTGGGGAAAGAGAAGAAAGAAGATGTGTCATGTAGAAAACAGTAAAGCAAAACCACACTTTTGTTATACCTACGTAAACATTAGTAGTGAATTTTCAGTGGACTACACTGATGTTAACAACTGAAGAAAACTTAGTTTCAGTAAACAGTAAAGAGATGTATTCTTCAGTTACAGTCAATTAAAAGACCAGAATGGATTGATCTATAGAAGTGTTTGGGAAGCTCAGACCATCTTATATTACCAGTGAAGTTGAAAAGGGGCTGCTCAGTACTTTGCAGAGTTGGCTCCTTTGGCCTCTGGATGTTATTATATTAATTTGTATATATTGGTTCACATACTTATTTTTCTAAATAAGTACAACAGAACACAAAGATACTCAGTGCTTTAAGAGAATTAGAAGACAAAATACAAATAATCTGCATGAAATACAGGGGAGTTCAGGGATACTTTAATTTCCCTATTCAAAAAGTAGTGTGAATTAGCCAGGGCAACTGCGCAGAGCCATGCTCTGAGCTACAGGAATCAGGGCAGCTCTCCAAAGGCTATCTCACTATCTCTGTGGCACATTACTCAGGAACATGGGCATGCTCTCATGAGCTATCTAGTAGCAGGTTCTCTAATAACCTAATAAACTGATGAATAAGCAATTAAAAGAAATGCGAGCAAACAGATCACCTTGGGTGGTTTGTAGAGACAGCTGCACATGATAAGAGATACTTTCAGATTCTCAGGGAAGCAAAATTAATTTGGTTTTAGGAACGTGGTTTTTTTCATCAATCATAACAGATATTAAACGAGATTTTATTATTCTTTTTATGCAAACATTCTATGGAAATAAATATGAAAACAGAATGTTGACCAACAAAAGGGCCTGCAAGATCAGACCTGCTGTTTGATATGTAAGAACACCTCAGAGGAAAGTTAATGAATTGAGGAGTTTAAATACACCAGAAAATGTAAATTTCTTCTGCTAAACATTATGATATTTCATTGTTTTCAACACTCTGAAAGAAAACAGTTTGATTTCAGAGAGAGCCCGTAAAATTTAAAGGAAATTTTTGCTTCGAATAATTTTTGTCAGTAACAATTCTTTTTCCCCATGGCAGGTCCTTTCAGAGTAACAGGATATTCTACCCTCAGTTTTGGTCTCATTTAAATTGGTTCAAAGGTAAAAATTGCCCTATGCAGTCTGACTTTAAACTCATGTGGAAACAGTGGAATTTGACTCAGATATATTATTCGTGGATCAAAATCCCCCTGCTCCAGAGCAACCAGTATGATGCAGAAGATGGCAGAGGCTGCTTGAGCATGAGGTGACTGGTACCAGCACCATCTGGAGTCCTCCAGCACAAAGTGCAAGCAAAGACTTTATAAAACAGAAAACTTGGCTATTTTATTTGCATGCCCTAGTGTTGATTCTGCACCAGGCTGAGAGGGGAACAGAGGTATGCAGACTGTGAAGGACCATATCAATATCATCTAGTTGCCATCACTCCTTGATACTTTGGTAGCTCTTCCCTCACTGGGAAGGGTTTTCTCCTATGTCTTGGCGTATCCAGCTTGCTGGTGACCTTTCAGGAAGCAATTCCTGTAAGTAATTTATATGCAAATGTAAGAAATGCAGGTTTTCATGGTCACTTTTTTTTTTTAATTTGACTTACTATGTAACTTACTAAAAAAAAAAAGAAAACTTTTAGTGTGATTATAAGCTTATTTTCTGTTGTCTTTTTTCTCCCTCTGTCTCCATTCGCATTTCCAGTGCACCCCTTGTCCACAGAGTGCTCTGCTTCTCTAGTCTCTCACGTTTCCCAAAGACTTAGTGCTTTATAAGGCTCACAGATACAACCCTTGCCAAGATGATTTTTATTATTATTAGGTAGGAGTTTATATATTTTACAAGCCAGCACTTTTTCCTTTACTGCCCAGTTGATTTTTTTTTTTTTGTCTTTCCACTCTTTTGGATTTTAAACTCTTTAAAAATATTTTTTTTATTTTTGTAGGGGAACACATTTGATTCCTAATCCATCCACTTAATGATATAGTTATTCTTAAATATGTTGTCCCTTTCCTAAGTATGCATTTAGTTCACATGTCCTAAGTTTGCAACATTTGCACAGCAACAATATTTTTTGTTGCTCTTCATTTTCTTGAAGACTTGTCGTTTAAATCTTCATACTGGTAGCTGTAAGCACAGTTTTCCCTGATAGTAGTGAGGGAAAGTAGGTATTCCTTACCTAGGCTACCAGGATTCTGAAAATTATTTCCAGTTGCCATAGATAGCAGGGATCTCAATGAAGGAGAGCTACTTTCTTTTCTTCTGAAAGAATCTTTTCACTAAAATGAGTTCCAAGTGCATTGTTTAAGGGAGAGTAACATAGTCAAGAGCTTACATGCACAAAATGCAGTACTCTGGATTCTAATGTTGAGCATTTGATGAGATAATATTTAGCGACATTAGTCACAGAACAACTTACATTCATACTATTAAATCTCTTCTGCAGAAAAAGACAACTTCAACCTGACTGCCAGCTGGGGCTGGTGCCTGGACTATACTACCTTCTACCCCTCTGCATTGTTTTGGTGAGGGCTAGCTGTCAAACGAAATCAGAAATTTGCCAGTGATTCAACAGTGTAAGTGATAATTTTCTAGCACTTGCAAACATTTTCTGGGACTGTTAAATTTACTGAAACAGCTTCAGTCTTTCTTTCGTACACATTTATATTGGTCTTACCAGTGTTCAAAATCTAGAGGAAAACAGATCCAAACCAATTTCCTTTGCCATATAAGTCAAGAGCAAAGATTTTATACAGGGTATGATGTCACGCTGAAGAAGTTAGAAAAAGGACTAGAAAAAGGAAAGAATGAAATTATATTGACCATTCTATTCCTGAAAGTAAAGCCAGTCATTATGAATCCCTTTCTTGACTTATACAATGTTTCTGCTGTGGATATATTACATGAATAACATCCACCTTCAACATTTCTTAAGAAAATTAGTCTAATCCCTTTAATGTCATTCTGCAATAGCAATGTGAATGGCCATCTACCAGTTTTAGAAGAAATTGTATTTAGTTTGCTAAATAAATTAAATCCATATCCAGAAATTAGGAACCTTGCATTTTTCTTAAACGTTGTTTTATTCACGATGTGATTAGAAAAGATCAGCATAGTTTCCACCTCATCATCATTAGACATTCTCATATTTCACATTAGATTTTCATCTGAATTAACTGTTACCCAAAGCAATGGACTTGGTGTTCCTCATTGAGAACATTCAGACTTGCTGGACTTTTTTTCAAATGGAGGTGTGTATCTTCAACATATCTGATTATGGATACCACATATAATCTTGTATTAAGAGAGATGTCTGTGCTGGACACTGTAAAATAGAAGGAAAAAAAGGTCAAAATATGTAAGTAGTAGACTTTTGGGGAAATAATTATAATATATGTTGATTACAACTTTAGGCACTTCCTCATTTTTTTCTATATTTATATTTTTAATAGAAAAACCTTAATTTCAAACTCAAAGACTTTATTACAAAATGAAATTCTAAAACTCTTTATTTTCTTAGAGAACATGTAGCAACGAGATGTACAGAAATATATTTTTTTATGATCCGTAAAATATACAGAAGTCTGTTATCATTTCACTGGTTTTTTACAGGTTCTTGGCAATTCCCTCTCTTTTTCTAGAGTTTTGATTGAGCTTAACTACCAAGTAAGCTACAAGTATGAATGGATTCACCAAGACAGGGATCTAGCTAACCAAGTAGTACTAACATTAAGTTCAATTCAGGGCACTATACAATGTAAAAAAAAGCCCCAATCAAGTCAGCAAAGAAACTACTGGCTTGCTTTCTCACCCAATTCCCATTTTACATGTTTGGAGGTATTCTGATAATTCCTAAACTGACATGTCCTGTCTCTGAAAATAAAACCCAATTTTCTCCATATTAAACTAAGGAGATATCCTGCAGTCTAGAAAGTAGAACCCAGTCAAAATATTTCTGCAAAGAACTATGTGGAAAAGAGCTATCAGAAACTTTTCTCTTTAGTTCCCATATAGCATGGTCATTAGAGTATCTATCTCATCACTTGCCTTTTAAAATGTGGAAATATTCACATGAAAAACAGTCAGAATCACTCCAGATTAGTAGCAACTTTTTCTGTCTTCGTCTTCTTTGATGACTTCAGAATGCCCAGTGTAGTGATGGTCTGTTTGAAAGTGCTCTAACCAGGTCACAAAAGTTCAGAAAGGCAAATAGAGGGCCTGGAAGAATGAAGACCCTAAACCCACTTTAGGAGAGGATAAAGTCTGAGACCGTCTAAGGAATCAGAATGTGCACAAGTCCATGGGACCTGATAAGGTTTATCTACAGGTCCTGAGGGAACTGACGTTGCTAAGCCACTATTCATCATTTTTGAAAAATCGTATCAGTCAGATAAAGTCCCTGGTAACTGGAAAAAGGGAAATATAACCCTAATTTTTAGAAAGAGAAAAGCGGAAGATCTGGGGAACTAGGATTAGTCAGTCTCACCTCTGTGCCAGGCAAGATCGTGGAGCAGATTCTCCGGAAACTATGCTAAAATACATGGAAAACAAAGAGGTAACAGCCAACGTGGTTTTACAAAGTGGAAACCATGCCTAACATATCTGGTGACCTTCTATGATGAGTCTACAGTGTTGACCGACAGGGGCAGAACAACTGACATAGTCTATCTGGACTTATGCAAGGCATTTGACACTGTCCCACATGACATCCTTGTCTCTAAATTGGAGAGACAAGGATTCTATGGGTGGACTACTTGGTGGATAAAGAATTGACTGGATGGCAGCAAAAAGAGTCGTGGTCTTATTGTCCACACGGAGATCAGTGATGAGTGATGTTCCTCAGGGATCAGTACTGAGGCCAATCCTGTTTAACATTTCTATTGATGACATGGATTGTGGGATCAAGCGCACCCTCAACGAATTTGCTGATAACACCAAGCTGTGTGACGTGGTCAACATGCTGGAGGGAAGGATGCCCTCCAGAGGGACCTTGACAGGCTGAAGAGGTGGGCCAATGCAAACCTCATGAAGTTCAACAATACATAGTGCAAGGTCCTTCACATGGATTGTGGCAATCATAGACACACATGCAGGTTGGGTGGAGAAGTGATTGAGAAAGAATGGAGAAAGACTTATGAGAGATGGTTGATGTAAAACTCAACACGAACTGGCAATGTGTGCTTGCAGGCCAGAAAGCCAATGAAATACTGGGCTGCATCAAAAGGACCATGGCCAGCAATTGAGTGAGGTGATTCTACCCCTCTACTCTGCTCTTGTGAGAACCCACCTGGAATGCTGCATCCAGCTCTGGTCTGTACCCCAACATAAGAAAGATATGGAACTGTTGAAGCAAGTCCAGAGGAGGTCAGAATGATAAGAGGACTGAAGCACCTCCCCTACAAAGACAGGCTGAGAAAGTTGGGGCTATGCAACCCAGAGAAGAGAAGGTTGCATGGAGACTTCAGAGCAACCTTCCATTAGAACACCACTCCTTTAGAAGAGAAGGAGGGGATGATGAGGGGGAAAGGGATTCACAGCCTCTTTCATCTGCATATCTTTTCAAAAGAAAGGAGAGAAAAGCTCCCTGTTGATACTAAGAGGAGACGACACCTTTCTAAAGTCACGTTTAGGGATTTTATTTAAGTATAACTTCACTCTAAATGCAAAAGATAAAGAGTTAGGTTTTTTGCATGAAACTGAACACAGACTTCCTTTCTCAGTAGTTCTGAACTCTCTTATTTTTTTCCTTCATTATTTTATGACTGCTTTCCCACTAAGTTTTCCTATGATGCATGAAAATGGGACTTTCTAGCACTAGTCTCCTATGGTGCAAGGGCAGCATATCTGAGATAGCACAGTATTTCCTGGTATCACAACCAACGTACCAGGAATACCAAATGATTTAAAGGCTTTCATTAATACTCTACTTTACAAAGACACTTCTAGGCAAACCAAAGGTCATAGGAGACTGAACTGAAATAATCAAAATGCAAAAAAACAAAGAAGTGAACATCAGGGTAGATACAGAAGTCAGAGATTGCACTGGAATAGTTTACATTTTAAAGGGGACTGAGTTGTGCTGGAGACTAGATAGATTCAAGTTTAAGTTTTATTTGGATTAAATCAACTGGCACACCCTTATATCTAAGCAAATAATCACAAGTTATTTCTCCGAGTCTCTAGGGATTGGGAAGATGATAAGGAAGGCTATTACATTAGTCTATCTTTTATATATACAGCTGTGATTTTTGACATGAGGTGTATTGTTATTGTTTGCAATTTGTTAAAAAGTAAGCATTTTTGAGATATAGCAGTTCATTGTGATCAAGAATATGTGATTGTTATTGGCAAAAAATTTACTCATATACATAAACAGTTTGGTTCAGAGGTATTGTTGGAAATTATATGCATAAATGTGACCTAATCAGTCACCTATCAGTCACCATCATCAGTAGAGAAGTGATACAGTAGAATAGAAACAAGGTGGCAAGTTATTAGCACAGTCCTTTTTTTTCTATCAACTTCCCTGAAACCTGGCTTAAAGCTGCAAGTATTGGTATTTGGATATTACTAAGTTGATTACCCAGGTTCTTTATATATAATTCAAGAACTTATTAAGTAAATATATATGTTTTCTTGGTAGGGAGGGTATTAGGCTGAAATCGGAATCTAACAGTTTCATGGCAGTCACTTTTGAAAGAGAGGAAGGATCAGCTTCATTCTAATGCTGAGATCCATGTAAGTCTTCACATATGTAAAATTATATTTTAAATACTTTGCTGTATGTTTTTCTCAGTAATTATCTCTTCATTTTTTGTAAAAAATTAAATACTCCAGTTCTTCCTTCAGGAGCTCTTTTCCATAATAAAGGTTGCATTATTTGATGAGGAGCTAGAAATACAGTTGTGGTCTATGTCTGTGGGATTCACATGCTACTAAGAGATCCCACATGAAAGTAGATGGTTAGTAATCTCCAGACAATTTATCCTTCTTCCTAATTCAGTTAAGCTTTTCAGGAATCTTTTAAAAATCTTTCTGAAACCTTTAAGACTAGTGGAAGAAAACGATCAAAACAACAATCCATTTGTGGATAATGTTAGTCAGAAAAGCATCAAATGCAAGATAGAAGTTGTTCACAGTCATGACAAGTTCTTTTAAGGACTTGGAGGAAAGCTATTACGAAGGCAGAAAATGAAAGGTCTTTCATGGTCAGAGTGTTTCAGTGCTGAGGCTGATACATCAGCAACTGATACCTATTTACCATGCAGACTGGTAAGTAACTTGGCACTACTGCCCTTTCTCTGACTTTTGCTCTGTGGAAAAAGGAGAGGAAAGAGATATCAATGAATGTTTATCCCAGTCTAACAAAGATATGTTTATCTATTCCTATGATGGAATCCACACACACATCTTCAGTACAGACAGGATTTTATAACTGTGGTTTCACATCATCAATGTTTAATGCAAAAGGCATTATAATAAGGTAAAAATATATTTCATAATAGCACGTTATTTTTATTGATTTCAGCTTCCAGCAAAAATTAATTTAGTCTTTATAAACCAAATTTTAAAAACAACTCAATCTCCCTTCTGCCTGTGCCGCTCTTCTTGGTACTGTGTGATTTCAGTTTGCGTTTGTTATCTCTGCATGCAGAAAGCTTCCTCTGCAGGTTTTCCAGTGAAAGACAGATTTTTATGCATTTGAAGCTATTTTAAATGACCATAAGGACATACTTCATGGCTTGTTGAAATGTCAGGATTTGTACTTCCTTAAGCATTTGGTCAGAATTTTGGAAAAGTGACTGAAAGTAAACCTGATGATAATATGATGTTGAACTTCAAGACTGTCACACCGAAGTAACTCAAGGTCAAAAGACATCTTCTTATCTCATTTGTGGTATTCATACAGATTAACTAAATAGTAGCAATAACTTGCTGCGTACTTTTAAAAAACCCTTTATTTGAAAATTTTCAATTTACTTGCACATTGATCATGAATTCAGGGGCCATGTAGCAACATAAGCAAGGCCAAAATATTTTGGAGTTTACTCCTGTTGAGAAGTCACTTCCTGTACAGTTTCTTTAAAACGAATATACAACTTGTAAAGAAAGATAGCAATATCCAGACCTTCGTGGTTTGTAATTTTAAAACTATTAAATACATTTGCTTATTTTTCTCTCTTTATTCATCTCTCTATTTGTTTCTTATTTGAAATATGTTTGGGTTGTCTGCCTGACCTTCTTTATATGTATGGGTATATCTTTGATTTTAAAATTGTAGAAGACCTCTTCTTTTGTTCTGTTACTTTTGTATTAATAAAAATA